TTTCCCCAAACATTGCTCCTTTAAGACACAAAACAAAGGAAACCATATTGGCCACAAGAAAATCCTTTAAAAATAATATTTTTTAAAATGTTTTTTTCCTAATAAATGAAAGAAATTCCTTTAAAAATCCACTGTTTACATACCCACCAACATTTCTCAAATGAAAATAGGGAGAAATTATTATTATTATTATTATTATTATTATTATTTAAACCCCACCCATCTGACCGGGTTGCTCCAGCCACTCTGGGCAGCTTCCAACATATACAAAAACATAATATAACATTAAACATTTTAAAAACTTCCCTATACAGGGCTGCCTTCAGGTGTCTTCTAAAGGTTGTATAGTTACTTATCTCCTTGGCTCGGGGGGGTTGCAAAACTCCATATCGGCCAACACTTCTCTGATGAAAAGAGGGATATTCCAGGATAAAATCAGAAACCAGAATGGCTTCTGCAAATCCGGAACCACCTCTGGAAAATACACTTGGAGGGTCTGTGTTTATCATAAAATAACGAGCAAGCTTTTCTGAGTTCTCCAGAATTCTCCATCATCAGCCGCTACCCTGACGAAGAACTGTGGATAATTCAAAAGTTTGCTCTCTAATTTGCAATGTTTTGGTTTGACCTAAAAAGAAAATGTCGGAACCCCTTAAGGCAGTGCTTAATAAACTAAAGTTGTACATTTGATTTTGATTATTTGTTTCCCCGCCATCCCACAGCTCAGAGAACCTAAGGGTGGCTTAGGTAAAGGTAAAGGGACCCCTGACTATTAGGTCCAGTCATGACTGACTGTGGGGTTGCGGCGCTCATCTCGCTTTATTGGCCGAGGGAGCCGGCATACAGCTTCCAGGTCATGTGGCCAGCATGACTAAGCTGCTTCTGGCGAACCAAAGCAGCGCACGGAAATGCCGTTTACCTTCCCGTCTGAGTGGTACCTATTTATCTACTTGCACTTGGACATGCTTTCTAACTGCTAGGTTGGCAGAAGCAGGGACCGAGCAACAGGAGCTCACCCCGTCGCGGGGATTCGAACCGCCGACCTTCTGATCGGCAAGTCCTAGGATCTGTGGTTTAACCCACAGCACCACCCACGTTACAGACTTCCAAAGCAGTCTAAAATGCCAGTAGCAAAACAAATCAACACAGCCTAAAAAAAGCAAAATCGGTGGAGAGCAGCTAGGAGCAAATTGATATGAATGGCCATTAAATTCAAGGCCCAAATTAACAGGGCAGCATTTGAAAGATAATAATGATAACGGGCAAGTGCAGTTATTAGGGCAAGAGTTTACTCTCTAGGGGTGTCACCACAGAGAAGGCCTTACCTTCAGCAGCCAAATATCTGATCTCCAGGCAAGTAGGACATATAACCGCCATGGAAGTTCTTCCTTCCAGTGCAAAGGTCCTAGACGTAGTTGGGCTCCGACACCTGTCAATCACAGGCAGTCTTGCCAATAGACAAGAATGATGGCAAATGGAGTTCTCAGTCCCCATGGCCTGGAAAACTGTCACCTTCCTTTCTTCTTCAGATGACATTTGATGGTGCATTAGCCCTGGCAAAGAAAATGTCACTCGCATCCATGCCAGACATTTAAAGCACTCTTATACCACTTTAACAGTCATGGCTCCCCCAAACTGTAGTTCGTCACAGAGCTACAAACTCCATTTCCCAGGATTCTTTGGGGGAAGCCATGACAGTGATCTGTTTTTATAAGACAGCCTTCCTGTTCCTGTACTGCAAGCTTAGCAATTTCCATTGAAACAATGCATTTGTGTGTGTTGTATGCGTTTTCAGGCACACTTCTGTCTATTAAACACATTTTTTTTGACATACTGGTTGCAGACCCTCCAAGTGTCCCTGTTTTCCAGGGACAGCCCTGGATTTACAGAAGCTATCCCGGCATCATGGACTACTGCCATAAAGTCTTGCAATGATAATAAAAATACGTAACAATAATATGCCACCAGCCACTCAGGGCGGCTTGCAACAATTTATTTAAAAAAACCACAGTAAAACATCAAACATTAAAAACCTCCCTAAACAGGACTGCCCTCAGATGTCTTCTAAAAGTCAGATAGTTGTTTATTTCCTTGACAATAACTACTACATCAATTCATTACAATTGACCAACTTTAACAATAAATAAACAATAATTGAAAAGTTACAAAACATCACTTTTCACTTACTCGAGTTTTCATATTTAACTTTTATCTCTTTATCTCTTTCTTAGCAGGTCCAAAAGGAAAAGACCAAAGAACGAGGTACAAAAAAGGGAAAAGGAAGAGGGGGGGGGAATAGAAACAATTAACAGATTTGGAAGATTGGCAGAATTCAAAATGAAGTTTATTTCCTTGACATCTGATGGGAGGGCGTTCCACAGGGCAGGTGCCACTACCAAGAAGGCCGTGTGCCCGATTCCCTGTAATTTCACTTCTCGCAGTGAGGGAACCAGCAAAAAGGCCCTCAGAGCTGGACCTCAGTATCTGGGCTGAATGATGAGATGGAGATGCTCCTTCAGGTATGCAGGGCCAAAGCCCTGTATAATGGCCCTAGTACTCATCTCCTTCTCGGTGTGAGATCCGACAAATGCCACAGCCAGTCGAGAAAATACAGTTTGGGGCAAGACAGGTCCACGGAGTGACTCAGTAGAAGGCAGCTTCGTTCACAGCCCAGCTGATCTCCTTCACCTGCCTGAACAGTGACGCCAGGTAAGCCTTACAAATGCGACAGGCAAGGCCAAGAATGTAACACCATTACAGAGAAGGGCCTGTCTGTTTCAACAGAGGCCAGGAATAGCCGGCATTCTCGCTCGCGCTGCCAAATTATGGGACAAGGATTTGAAACTTCCTCTTGGAGAAGATAAACGTATCGAAGGGTTGATGGTGGGAGGGAGGGAGTGGGGCAGAACAGCCACGTTTGCCCACTCCCATTCCCTGCCAGGTTCCTGTCAGACCGCCATTGAAAGAAGGGATTCTGGTTGTGGAAATATCCTTCTTGGTACACGTAGTTTTTTGGAATCCAGACTTCTGCAAGGGATTGTCTCAGGTTAGGATTTAGTGCCCCCGTGTGGCCACAGGAGAGCATCTTGTTAGGAAGCCATGAGTAAGGGCATGCAAAACCAAAAGCCAGTTTCTTGTACGTATAGCAGAAGAATCAAGTGGTAAGAAGTTTTCCTAGGTTCCTAGGTTCCTGGTGTATATGCTCCAGCTGTACCAGGCATGGTCCCTGCTTTCTAGCAGCTATTCCTGATTTACAGCTGACTTTACCCACTTTAAGGGACGCGGGTGGCGCTGTGGGTTAAACCACAGAGCCTAGGGCTTACAGATCAGAAGGTCAGTGGTTCGAATCCCCGTGACGGGGTGAGCTCCTGTTGCTCGGTCCCTGCTCCTGCCAACCTAGCAGTTCGAAAGCATGTCAAATTGCAAGTACCGGTAGATAAGTTCCGGCGGGGAGGTAAACGGCGTTTCCATGCGCTGCTCTGGTTTGCCAGAAGCGGCTTAGTCATGCTGGCCGCATGACCCGGAAGCTGTACGCCGGCTCCCTTGGCCAGTAAAGCGAGATGAGCGCTGCAACCTGAGTCAGCCATGACTGGACCTAATGGTCAGGGGTCCCTTTACCATTACCAACTTTACAGAAGACAATAATCCTCTTTTGGAAGGGCTTGCCGATTCAAGTATGCTTTGAACCAGAAGCGCAAAGCTAGAACCAAGATAACAGGCCAACTCGCCTGGTCTCTGTTTTCTGCCACAATGCTAACATGAATTGTATTCCTGTTTAACCGATGCCCATCGTGTCTGTGTTTGCATCTATGCAAACTGGTCTTCTCTTCTCTCTTTTGGGGGCGATGCCGTCATTTTATAAACCGCTGCTCCTATTTTGACTTTTTGGAAAGACTGCCAAAGTCTTCCTTCCTCTACACGCCAGATAAAACTCTGCCTCGTCATTGCATATGCACTATATATTTAAAGCACATTGTTGTTGTTTAGTTGTTTAGTCGTGTCCGACTCTTCATGACCCCATGGACCAGAGCTCACCAGGCACTCCTGTCTTCCACTGGCTTCATTCAACTGTAGTTTGCCCCTCACAAAGCTACAATTTCCAGTACCCTTAACATTCTAAAGTTCTGAGAATTACCATTTTTTGGTGGGGGTGGGTGGGGAATGTGTGTATGGTGTGTATGCAACGTAAGAGTAGTTCAGCTTTTTCAGTTATTGCCATTTTGCAATGCCTTCAGGGAGCTGTGTGACCTGAGTGAGTGCAGTCACACACCCCCCAACATGCACACATTCTATGTTTCCCCTCCCAGCTCATCCTCAGCTGATTTGTACAAATCCGTAGCATGGGGTGGGGGAGAGAATTATTCCCCCACTGCGGTGCTAGCCTGGTCCAAGATGTTCTTCTCCATTCAGCCCAGCAACACAGAGAGAAGGGAAAAGTGCCATCTCTGCTTTTCAGATCAATCTGAAAAGCAGAGAAGACAATATTTCCTCCTCGCTATGGCAGTGCGTTGGGAGGGAGACAGTGACTTCTCTGCCCAACCCGCTGTGTAGATGCTAAGTCTCAGGATATCTCCCAAGGGACAGCGGGGAAAGCTCGTGGTCTTGCAAGGATGCCAAGAAGTCTTTGCACAATCTGCTCTGGAGCACTGAAAGCATATCTAAAGACAAGTTAATCCATAAGAATATTTTTGTAGTCTTGCTCTGCAAAAGATCTGGAGTTAGATGTAAGCCGGGATGGAGTGCAATGTTTAAAAAAAGAGTCCCCAAAATAGAATCCGTTACATGCAATGGTGTAGGCTTGAGCGACTAAGGATCTCATTCAAAGCTCGCCTCTGCCATGAGTGTACGCACCAATCCCTAGGGGCCAATGAGGTCCCTTTACCCCCCACCCCATAAAATATTTGAGGGAGCTCACCCCCCTCCAAAGTTGATGGACACTGCCATTCACAGCCTCCCATTCCCCATTGCTCCAGAACAAGGATTTAACGACCCCCTCCAAATTAGCCAAACTCCTTAAAAATTTATTTGCAAATTTTACAATTTATACAGAAGAGATCCATTTAAAAAATAATAATCAGATTTTGTACAAAAACAAACAAACCCTTTAGGAGACTGAAACCCAACCAAACCCCCAAACCTATGGCATTAAATAAACATCTTGCCTACATATATATATACATATACACACAGACAGAACTCCTGGACAAGAATTTTTGGTTTCTCCGCCCCACCTAAGCAAAGCAATATGCTGCTTCTAGAAATCCCAACACCTTGCATAAATACTCACAAAAGCTCCTTCTGTTTTAAAACTACCAGTTTTGAACTGCTAGCCAGGGTGGAGGGGGGGGCAGAGAGTGACTTCAGTGACACCCCTCTGACCAACTTTGGCCCCAGCCCAGCAGAGCAAATCCACCAACCCACACAGAGTACCACCACCCACCTCGTTCCTATTTCACAGCGAAGTCCCCCACCACCTCATCAGAAGGCAACCACATGGACCCCTTTGCTCCCCCCGTACTGTGATTAACCTCCCCACACCCCCTTTTTTCCGTACTTCACCAAGGAAAAATATGGACCAGGCCCTGCTGAAAGAGCCCTCCCTCCCAATCAACCCAGGCAAAGCAAATAGCCTCCCAGAATGCTTCGCTCCACCTCTGCTGTATCATACTTTGCGCTCACCCTACCATGACAGTCCAAGCAGCCCGATTTCTGCTAAAGTGCATATCCCCCACCCCTCTGGTGGAAGATCTCGGTGCCTTCACACCTGGCCTCCCTGACTGCAACCTACTGGAGCCCACCCCACCCTGATTTGGGTCTTCCCATCTCTTCCCACCCAGCCTAGATTCTTTCACGCAGTTTGGTTGAAGGCACCAGAAAGCGGGTGGTCTGGAGAAGGCAGAGAATGGAGGTCCAGTCATTATTAATGGCCCCAGCCCCGTATTCTTGCAGCGGGTGGGTGGGTGGAGTTTAGGAGGTGGCCGACTGCGCCAGCAGAGTGGTCCCAAACTGGTAGGTGAGCTTCTTCTTGACCTTGCGAATTTCGCCCGTCTTGCTGTAGTTGCGTAGCGCCCGAGCCATTTTCTGGTAGGTCATCTTCTTGCGGTTGCCCTTCTGCTGTCCCCAGCGATGCGCCAGGAGCTCCTTGTGCTTCGAGGAGAACTGGAAGATCCCTGCGTCGCGGTGCACCCACCACACGCATTCCTTCATGTCGCCACGCTCAAGGAGCTCCAGCAGGAACTGGTAGAGGCGCAACTTCCGTCGGGAGCCTGCGGAGGGCGACAGACAAACAAAAATCGTCAGCGCAATGCTCTCCATGCCCAACAACTGGCGTTCAGTGGAGATTAGGAAAATAGCCATCATGCCTATTGAGGGTACCTGAAGGAGCGTCTCCAACCCTGTCGTTCAGCCCGGACACTGAGATCTAGCTCTGAGGGCCTTCTGGCGATTCCCTCACTGCAAGAAGTGAGGTTACAGGGACCCAGGCACAGGGCCTTCTTGGTAGTGGCACCCACCCTGTAGAATGCCCTCGCATCAGATGTCAAGGAGATGAATAGCTATAGAACCCTTAGAAGACATCTGAAGCCAGCTGTATAGGGAAGTTTTTAATGTTTATGGTTTTATTATGTTTTTATATGGTATGGTAAACGTAAAAAGGCGACTATGGGGTTGCGGCACTCATCTCGCTTTCAGGCCGAGGGAGCCAGCGTTTGTCCACAGACAGCTTTCCAGGTCAGATGACCAGGATGACTAAACCTCTTCTGGCACTACAGAACACCATGAGGGTAACCAGAGCGCACGGAAATGCCGTTTACCTTCCCACCACAGCGGTACCTATTTATCTACTTGCACTGGCTTGCTTTCAAACTGCTAGGCTGGCAGGAGCTGGGACAGAGCAACAGGCACTCACTCCATCGTGGGGATTCGAACCGCCAACCTTCTGATTGGCAAGCCAAAGAGGCTCAGTGGTATAGACCACAGTGCCACTCGCATCCCTTTTTGGTATGATAAACATAAGTGTTGGCTCCAGGGTTTTGTGGGTGCTCAGACAGGGCACCCTCTATGGGCCCACTTTAGCTGGGAGATCAGAGACTGCAAACTCAAGGACTCTTTCAGGCAAAACACCAGCCTTCTTGGCAGTACCCTATAAGTGGTGGCTCTTTTGGGGGCAGGGGTCAACGCACAACCCCTGGGCAGCAGCATCCTCTCAACTTCACTGATTTACTTCTTGACATACAGTGAGTATTTCTGCACGTGTGTGCAGAAACACACACAAGATGCATGGTCTTGCTGAGTGCTAAAAACATGGGATGGAGGCACCCACCTGAATCAAAACCAGGTGAGAGATTCTCATCCAAGTCGCTGTCGGAGGACACCTCCAGGTTCCGACTCTCCCCGTGGAATTCCTCTTCTTCCGACGAGGGGCTAGGCACTTCCCTGGGAAGAGGGTACTGCTCGTAGGGGAGGTAAATCTGTAGATGTCCATGGGATGGAGGGGTAAAAAAACCACAGCAGTCGTTAGCCAAAGAGGAACGTCCTTGCCCAGGAAGTCAGGACCAAACTACATGTTACACAGGAAGGCCGTGGTGGGATTCCCCTAATGTTCTCATTCATTTAATGTCTATAGTACCCTTCATCCGAAGCTCACAGGGTGGTTTAGAATATAAAAACACAAAAATACACAACACAGTAACAATCAAAAACACTCCCCCCCACCTGAGCCCTTGGGTGATACAGGAGAGGAAGAAAAAGAGGTTATTTTTTTCTTCCCCATGGAAGACTCCTGATCTAGGCCGGCCAGAGCCCTGGCTGAGTCCTCTCAATAGGGACTAGGAACGTGTCACTATGTGTTAGGACCAAAATGACACATTACGCAGGAGAACCGTGATAGGATCTTCTTGGTGCTTTGTTTACTTTTTGACAAACAGTAGCAGCAGGGGGGGAATGGGAGATAGGGCGATTGGGGAGGATAATGCTATCAGTTGCTGCTAGCCAAGATGGCTGTCAGAGGCAGTAATCCTTCTGAATACCAGTTCCTGGTATTCTTAGGAGGGCTGGATGTTTATTGAGCTTGGGTCCTGCATCTCGGTTTACCGCAAGCATCTGACTGGCCACTGGGAGAACAGGATACTAGACTATAAAGGAACCACTGGCCTGATCTAGAAGGTTCTTCTTGAATGTTGCGATGAGAGGACCTACCAATTTGATCAGAGCAGTGGTGCCTGGGGGGGGGGAGAGAGTAGTTAATCTTTCCCCTCAGATGCCATTTTCCGCTTATCAAAACCACTCACCCCCATGGCTACAGCTTTGGACTACAGCTACAGAACCCAGATAAGGCAAAACAGATAACCCCTTTTTCTGTTTCAGATTAATCTGGGGCCACATCTACACACCAGTACATTTAAAGCATGCCTATACCGCTTTAAACAGTCTTTTACAGCACCCTCATACCACTTTAACAGCCATGGAGAATCCTGGGAACTGTGGTTTGCTAGAGGTGCTGATCTCACAGAGTCACAATCCCCAGCAACGAGAGCAAGCTACAGTTCCCAGGATTCTCCATGGCTGTTAAAGCGGTATGAGAGGGCTATAAATGTGTAGTCTGGGTTAGGACTGGGCAATAGATCGATATATTGTCCAAAGCCGGTTTGGAAGTCCGCATCGTGCTATCGGTTTCATAATTTTTGATGTGGCAATATATTGTGAATCATGATGTGTGTGTGTGCGCGCACGCGCGCACGCACGCTATGCAAAAAAATCATCATGTGAGGGAAACCGTGAAGCCAGCCAATGCTTCCTCTTGATTCCTGCAGCCTCTGTTAACTCCGTCAGCTCAGCCCTCCACTGCCTAATGCAGGGGGCAGCAAATCCCATGAGCAGGCGCCATCAAAAAATCAGGACACTGGAAAAACTGTGAAGCCAGCTAGTGCCTCTACATAGTAAAGGTAAAGGGACCCCTGACCATTAGGTCCAATCCTGGGGTTGCAGCGCTCATCTCGCTTTATTGGCCGAGGGAGCTGGCGTACAGCTTCCGGGTCATGTGGCCAGCATGACTAAGCCACTTCTGGCAAACCAGAGCAACGCACGGAAACACCGTTTACCTTCCCGTCGAAGCAGTACCTATTTATCTACTTGCACTTTGACGTGCTTTCGAACTGCTAGGTTGGCAGGAGCAGGGACCAAGCAATGGGAGCTCAACCTGTCGCGGGGATTCGAACCGCCGACCTTCTGATCGGCAAGCCTACAGTGCCACCTGCGTCCTTGCCTCTACATAGCTCCATCCTTATTTTAGACATTGTGATATATTAGTATATTTATATATGTTTAACTGGTGATATATCACAATGTTGAAAACTAAATATTGCCCAGCCCTAGTCTGGGTGTTACCAAGAACTCATTGGCACCCTGTTTATGTACAACAGCTGCTTGCCCAGAGCTGGAAAGACAATAAGATACCTACTAGGGCGGACTGGCAGATGAAATTACTGGACTATGCAGACATGGCAAGATTAACTGGGAAAATCAGAAATCAGGAGGATCAAAACTTCAACAGAGAATGGGATAAATATAGATTGTATTTGAAGGACCACTGTAAACACTTGAACTCTTCGGCAGGTTTTAAATAACTCCTGCAATGGCTTTGGATACAATGGAGGGTTGTAGATGGACTTATAATATGCAGTTGAAAGAGTTACTTAAAGAACCCACAGCGGGGAGGAGGGAAGCCCTAGGATTCGGAGGAATCTTGTGTAAAGTTCTAATATTTGCAAGAAAATTATCTGTGTGAATGAATTTGTAAAGTCAAATACAGTGGTACCTCTGGATGCGAACGGGATCCGTTACGGAGCCCCGTTTTCATCCTGAAGCGAACGCACCCCGCGCCCACAAGTTTGCGCATGCGCTGGTCGCAATTCGCCGCTTCCGCGCATGTGCGTGATGGCATTTTGAGCATCTGCGCATGCGCGAGCAGCGAAACCCAGAAGTAACACATGCCGTTACTTCTGGGTCGCCACGGAGCGCAACCCAAAAATATTCATCCTGAAGCTACTTCAACACTAGGTATGACTGTAAAAACTTTAAAATAAAATTAAAAAAAACTCATTGGCACCCATCAGCACTTTGTCTTACCCACCAAGCTCCAATACCAGATCTGAGAACCCAGGTCTCCTGGCTTCCCAAAACCCACAGACCCATAGCTGTCAACTTACAGATTTGAAAATAAGGGACCAGCAGCCAAAATAAGGGATTTTAGTCAACCAGCTCCCAAGCCAAAGGCAGAAAGCCCAGCCAGCCCAGCAGCCAAACGAAGCCTCAAGCGGTGGTTCCCACAGCGCAGCAACCCGGCAAAGGGGATGCAGCAAGGAAAACCACCGTCACCTCTCTGCTGGGAAGCGCTGAGCAAAGGCGAGTCCCCAGGCAACGCGGCTGATTTGATCAGCACAAGGCATGCAAGCTCCACCCCCCAGTCGTTCTTAGACTCCTTATTGGGTGAGCAACGCAGCCAAGCAACACAGTTGGAGCCTCCCTGGCTGGCAGGGAGGGAGGGAGAGGAGCTGCTTCCTTTGAAACCTGGGAAATTTAAGGGACATCATCAATAAGGAACAGCAGCGGGACACGAAGCTGGGATAAGGGAGTTTCCCGCCAAATAAGGGACGGTTGACAGCTATGCACAGACCCCACTCCCTTCCCAGGTCCTGGCTTTCTGTTGCCCCGCCCCAAACGGACTAGGCGCCGCCTTCACCTGGGTGTTGTAGTCTTCCTTGGGTGCGAGGCACATGTTCTGTGTGGGTACCACTCCCTCCTGGCTGTAGACAGAATCCATGGAGAGCTGCGGGTAAGAACTATGCAGGTAGGAGACTTGGACATTCTGCAGCTGGGCCAGCTGCCCCACCTCATAGCCTTCATAGCCAGGCTCCTGCATCTCCAGCCAGTTCATGCAAGACTCTGAAAAGCAAGGGGCCGCGACGTCAGAAAGGAGACCCAAGAGAACAAGCCAACGAGTCAGGAGCAAGGAACCTTTTATAGCCCGGGGGCCACATTCCCTGGGCTCAGCAAGCTTTCAGGGGCCGTATGCTAGTGTTGGGCAAATGCCAGCATCAAATGTGGGTAGGGCAATGGATGTAAACATTGTACAGTAGGCTAGTTTACACGTACACAAACAAGCACTCCTCTAACCCAGGCAAGCGAGAGATATTCTCAGAGGACCTATTCCAGCCAGGCCAAAAAAAAACAAAACACACCTGGAATACGGTGTCCATTTCTGGACACCATAATTTAGGAAGGATGTTGACAAGCTGGAACGTGCGCAGAGGAGGGGAACTAAGACGATCAAGGGTCAAGAAGCCAAGCCTTATGAGGAATGGTTGAAGGAGCTGGGTATGTTTAGCTTGCGAGAAAGGAGACACAATAGCCATCGCCAAATATCTCGACAGCTGTCATGTGGAAGATGGAGCAAGTCTTGTTTTCTCCTGCTCTGGAGGGCAGGACTTTCATTTCATTTATTTTCATTTATTGAATTTATTTACCGCCCTATACCTGGACTTTCTCTTCCAAGGGCTTCACGTTACAGTGGTGCCTTGGGTTACAAACGCTTCGGGTTACAGACTCCACTAACCCAGAAGTAGTATCTCAGTTTAGGAACTTTATTTCAGGATAAGAACAGAAATCACACGGCAGCAGCAGGGAGGCCCCATTAGCTAAAGTGGTGCTTCAGGTTAAGAACAGTTTCAGTTAAGAACAGACCTCCAGAACGAATTAAGTTCTTAACCAGAGGTACCACTGTACTAGAAAGGTGATTCCAACTGCAGTGGTACCTCGGGTTAAGAACTTAATTCGTTCTGGAGGTCCATTCTTAACCTGAAACTGTTCTTAACCGGAGGTACCACTTTAGCTAATGGGGCCTCCTGCTGCTGCCGTGCCGCCGGAGCACGATTTCTGTTCTCATCCTGAAGCAAAGTTCTTAACCCGAGGTACTTTTTCTGGGTTAGCAGAGTCTGAAACCTGAAGCGTCTGTAACCTGAGGTACCATTGTAAACATCAGGTGGAACTTTCGGACAGTAAGAGCTGTTTGGCAGCGGAACGGTTTGCCTCAGGAGGTTGTGGGCGCTCCTCCCTTGGAGGTTTTTAAAGCAGAGGTTGGATGGGGCCATCTGTCATGGATGCTTTAGCTAAGATTCCTACGTTGGACTAGATGACCCTTGGGGTCCTGTTCCAGCTCTACAGTTCTATGATTTTACTCAAGGAGGGTGTGAAGCAGGGTGAGTGGGCAGTGCCCCATCTGTTCTAATGGACCAGTCTCTGCCCTTCAAAAGTTTGCCTCGGGAGCTTCTCCTCCTCCTCCTGTTTCCCCTTCTCTGCTTTGTGAATCCTGGAGCCCTCACTCCCAACATCCACTTGGATCTCTTGGGTATAAGAGCAGGAGGGTTGAGGTTTGTGTTACCCAGCTCAGGCTACAAAGGCTTTTCTTCTATGTGCAAATGCCTCAAGCCATCAATTTTGCATAGGGAACAGCAGGTACATACAGCACCGAAATTTCTCCTCTCCCCATTAGAGGGCAGAGTTTTTGAAACCAATATCTAGACCCTATCTCCAAAGAGTGAACTCAATTCTCTGAATGTGAATTCTTATCCAATCAAAATGCCATACAAAAGGAAAAGATATTAGAAGGCTTAGGAGAGCCCCAGGGTTTGTAGAATACATTTGGGGCTGTATTACCTTGAAGAAATAGGAGAACAGAGAAGGAAAGGCAAGGAGTAGAGGCCAAAGCCTTGGGAGAAGACGTACCTTGTCGAAAGCTATTTATTTTTTAGAAAAATGCTGCATTAGAGGGGGCAGAGCAGCAAGCAAAAGAGGAACCTGAAACAGCATAGTGCAATGTTTGGGACGCAATCCTAATCCCATTAGCCAGGGAATAAAAACCCCATTTAATTTACTAGGATTTTCCGTGGCACTGTGGGTTAAACCACAGAGCCTAGGACTTGCTGATCAGAAGGTTGGCGGTTCGAATCCCCGCGACGGGGTGAGCTCCCGTGGCTCGGTCTTGCCAACCTAGCAATTCGAAAGCACGTCAAAGTGCAAGTAGTTAAATAGGTACCGCTCCGTCGGGAAGGTAAACGGTGTTTCCGTGCGCTGCTCTGGTTCGCCAGAAGCGGCTTTGTCATACTGGCCACATGACTCACGTACGCCGGCTCCCTCGGCCAATAAAGCGAGATGAGCACCGCGACCCCAGAGTCAGCCACAACTGGACCTAATGGTCAGGGGTCCCTTTACCTTTACCTCCAAGTAAACATGGATAGAATTGCTCTGTTAGCCGTGATGAAAGTATCATCTACTTAAAATACTTATGTCTCACTTTATATAGCCCAAACAGGTTCTGAAAAGCGGCATAACAAAAGAGTCTCGAAATAAAATTGCACTAAAGACGGATGTGACAGCTGTACTTCAAAGTTGGCAGGATGAAGCCCCACCATCCATTGCTGAGTAGTCTGAAGATCTTACTCCCCCTTTCTGCAGTTGAACGTATATCTTATCATTGTCAGTCTACATTAGATATCTATTTGGGGACACACACACACACATTTTTGTTGCAGGATGGATTATTCTTAACGTGAGCTAATGCTGTTTCATAGAATCACAGAACTGTAGAGTTGGAAGAGATCTTGAGGATCATCTAGTTCAACCCACTGCAATACAGGAATATGCAGCTGTTCTTTCTGGGTTATGCCAACAATAAAAAAATAGGGGGAGGAGAAGATGGGAATGAGATGGAGCCAGGATTTTGCAAGCAGCATTCCCTGCCCTCATCCTCAGTCTTCCCGAGTGTCATCGCAGAAAGCAGCTTCCTGCCAAAATCTTCTTCTGAGGTGAGGGAGTGGGGCTGAACTAAGAGAATGATAGAAGGCAAATAAAAGAGAGATAAAGAAGGAGCCAAAGAGTGAAGGGTTTGAAAAAAAACAAAAAGGAAGAGTAGCAGATTAAACCCGGATCAGATAAGAGAACGGAAGCCTTAGAAAATGGTGAGGAGGATGAGCAGAAAATGGTAGCAAGTCAAACTGGGAGAGAATATTTATTTATTATTACAGCTATATTCCTCCAAAGAGCTCAAGGTGGCTGGGCTCAAAGTCACCCAGCAGGCTTCATTGCTGAGGGTATATTCTCCCAGGTCTGAGTCCAGCACTCTAGCCGCTACTATTAAAAGAAAGACAATCAGCCAGTGCCACCGCAGAAGAAAGGGACAAGAAGAAAAGAATGGGATTTAGCAATCAGCAAGATTTGGGAATGGCAAGTTACTTGTTGCCTTTTCCTCAAGGACCACCTCTCCCCATACGAAGTGACCTGAACCCCGCAATCATGATTTGGGGCCTGTCTTTGTGTACCTCCTCTGCGAGAGGTCCGGAAGGTGGCAACCCAAGAATGGGGCCTTTTCCACATTGGCTCCCTATTTGTGAAATGCTCTCCCCAGCGAGGCAAACCTGGCACCTTCATTACATATTTTTAGGTGCCAGGGGAATACATTTCTTGATAACCACACCTCTGACTGATGAAACAGTCCACGGCCTTTTAAATGTTATTGTGGTGGTGGTGGGGATATCGGTTCATTTTTGTTTGTTTGTGTTCTCATTTTGTACTTTTCTGTTGTGATCTTTGGATGAAGGGCAATCTAGACATTTAATTATAATTAATAATAACACATTTCCGGAGCAGGGGCCGGCAGGGTGGAGCGGGGTGGGATGGAGAACTGTCATTTTTACATTTTGCAGTAGCTTGAACAGAAAAGGGAAGGTTCGGGGGAAGGAAAGACTGAATGCGAGCCCCCAGCATGAGAGAAAAGGAGAGCGAGGAATAACTATTTTCTGGACAAATGAAGCTTAAGATAACGAGAGGGCATCTAGTCAGAAATGGTAGTGAGATTACAAAAGGAAGGTGTAGAGCTGCAGGCCGTCAGCATAAAACAAGTACACTGTGGGCGTATTTGCCCCTTAAGACGGGCAAGAATAAAGGAAGTCCTAGGGCATGGCTGGGAGGCAAGCGATGAGGCCAAATGGCCTGAAGCTAAAGCAAGTCCAAGCCTGGTCAACGCCTGGAGCAGAGACTAAGTTGTGTGTTAACTTTGAATCCCATAAGAGAAGAAAGGCAAAGTAAATAATAAAAAAAACCCATAGGGGTATGTGTGCGGAAAACCACAGAGACACATTCTGGAGCGGTTTGATCGCTTCAGTCCACTCTCTGCTTTTGGAAAAGATCTTGCAAGTTCGCTCCCTGTATGGGACAGCTGCATATTCCTGCATCGCAGGGAGTCGGACTTGATGATCCTCCCAATGCTCCAATTCTGCGGCACCATATATTTATTCCTCAGACTGCATTTATATGCCTCGCCTTCTAACCCAAGGAGCTCAAAGCGGCGTAAATGGTTCTCGCTCCCTCCTGGCGCAAGCCCAACAACAACCCTGCAAGGTAGTGACTGGCTCAAGGGCATCCAGTGACCAGGGCCGTCTTACCCATAGGCACTAGGGGTGCGGGGCACCCAGGCGCCAGGCTCTCAGGGGCGCCAGGCCGAGAGTCCGGGGCCCGAGAGTTGAGTCAGGGAAGAGCCCGACCGTCGGTCGGAGCGCAGTGGCAAGCTCTTCTGCTGCGGGTAGCTCTGCGCTGCGAGTTCGGGGGCAACCGAGCCAGTGAGACGCTGAGGCAGCTGGTCAGTTCCACCCTCCTGCGTGCCTGGGACTGGCCAACCTGAGGGGGGGTGGATCTTTCCACCCCGTGCAGCATATGCTTAAGACAGCCCTGCCAGTGAGCTCCGTAGCCAAGTGGGAATTTGAGCCCTGTCCTCCCCAGGCCCTAGTCCTGGCACTCTTAAGAACCCGACACACCGGCTCATTTATGCAGAGGCCAGGGATGGGTTGGTGTGTGGAGGGTGTTGCTAGAAAGGCGGAAGGGTTCAGCCCAAACGCTGAGATCCAGCTCCGAGGGCCTTCTGGCAGTTCCCTCCCTGCGAGAAGTAAGGTTACAGGGAACCAGACAGAGGGCCTTCTCAGTAGTGGCACCCGCCCTGTGGAATGGCTTCCCAATCAGATGTCAAGGAGATGACCTTTAGAAGACATCTGAAGGCACCCGTGTATGGGGAAGTTTTTAATGCTTAATGTTTTATTATGTTTTGTATGTGCTGGAAGCTGCCCAGAGTGGCTGTTGCAACAAATAATAAATTATTATTATTATTATTATTATTATTATTATTATTATTATTATGCACTGCTGAGCAGGAGTGGGAAGGCCCATCAAACTAGCCAGGCTGTGAGCTTCTTGGGTGAAAGGCAGAATAAAAAACCAAACAAAGAATGCATACTGATAAGCTGCCATATCTACACACCAGCTCTGCCTTGCCACCCAATGCAGCAAAACTACACTGCAGATGTGGCAGGAAGCAGATGCTGGGTGGGCAGTCGATCTCTGGATTATAATAATTTTATTATGTATACCCTGCCCATCTGGCTGGGTTGCCCATTAAGGGTACACCAGAGTAGATTGGCAACTTGGTGCCAGAGATCAAAAGTGGCAGGCCAGCCCCAGATTGGATTATCCTGATCTTCAGGCAACTTCCAGCGAGTCTACAAAGCCCAAACACAGTATCTCTCTCTCTGCAAATAATACAGAGTGCCTATCTGTGGCAGGCTCCCACCAAGGCCTGTATAGATGCAAGCACATCCCAGAAATCAGATGGCAGCCACTGATTAAATGCAGATTGCGCAAGCGAGCGGGGCAGGTGGGGAGGGGGGAGGAAGAGAGAGAGAGAGACTCGTCTGTTCTAAACAGGAAAGCCATGCATGACTCTTCTGCAGGCCGCCTTAACGGCTAGGCAAAAGAGGGTCACATGCAAATCGGCGAGTGAGAGAACAAGAACTTACATTTGTTCATTCAGTATGTAGAGGAAGGGTAGTCAACCTGGTGCCCTCACAACGCAGGGACTCCCTGTTCCCATCAACATGGTCCATGTTGTACCCACGTGATATATAATATGCCTCCTACAATTAGTTTGCACGCGGCTGTGCGCACACCATACATTTAAAGCAATCCCCAAATAATTCTGAGAACTGTAGTTTGTAAGGCTGCTGGGAATTGTAGTTCTGTGAGAAGTAAACTACAGTTCTTCCCAGGATTCTTGAAGCTGGGGGCGTGGGCGTCATGCGCTTTAAATGTATACTGTGTGTGCAACCCTGGTCTCCTAATAATAATAATAATAATAATAATAATAATAATAATAATAATATTGGCTTTTTTCAGCCAGAGCTCAGCTCCAGTACCTCTCAGGTAAGAGAACAAGGGAGAAGTTCATGGTGAGCTTCAGCACCTCCTTTTCTAGAAAAATAACACTGATGATAATAATAATTTATTACTTATACCCCGCCCATCGGTTCGAGTTGCCCCAGCCGTTCTGAGCAGCCACTCCCCAGCACTAAGACATGCCTTACCTGGGGAGCTCTCGGGGTCTGCAAGGCAGGAAGCAAACATGGGTTCTTGTTTGCAAGAGTCCAGGTCATAGATGCAGCCGCTGGGAAACTGGGAAGACGACAGACAGGCCTGTGAGCAACATTAAAACCCCTGCACTTCACACCCTCAAATGCAACAAGGACCTAGGAAGACTCCCAGTCTCTAAACCCACCCCGGTCTGCTTCCACTAAGAAAACGAAAGGAAAGCCTGTGGTTAAGAGCACATGCGAATGGCCCCAGGTTCAGCACCCCAGTATCTCTAGGTAGGGCTGGGAATTCCCCCTGTTTGGAATCCTGGAAAGCTGCTGCCAGCCAGTATTGGCCATATGAGCTAGATGAGCCAATGATCCGACTCAGTGCAAAGCCATTTCTTACATTTCCATCTTGGCTTCTGAGCTACACAGCTCTCAACAAAATCCCACTTTGAAATCCTCTTCTCTCACTCAGACCAGTAAAATGCAAGGATTCTGGGCCACATACTTACCAATATAGCCATACTGGGACCCCTCGAACCTGCCAAGATAGAAGGGAAATTGGTTAGCAGATTTTATCATAATCATCATTATTAACAGACACGTTTACAGCACCATCCTACATATTCTACCAATAGAAACTGTTGGTCAAGATTTGAGTGACAGCCCTAGTCGCTACTAAACTAGCAATTAAACCAATTAAGGCTTGCTGTTCTGCCAGTTACTAATTATCTGAGTGCCACTTATTCCTTGCAAAGGGATTTATTATATTTATCAGGTTTGAATCTTTCCTCCCACAGAAGAGGAAAGAAACAAGGAAGCATTGTTCCAATTTTACAGACGGAGGCAGGTATATTGAGGTTTGGGGCTGCTTGGTCAAATTGCACTGCACATTATTTTTCTTGAAAATGCATAATCATTTCTTCAGGGATATGTTCCCAATAATTCATACACCCTCAAAAAGAGGGCACCTACACAGTAAAGCTCAGGAACCCGGAGGGGGTGGGGAAGCTTGTAGAGCCGGTGTGGGAAACCTCCAAATGTTGCTGAACTACAACTCCTATCAGCAAGGAAGGTCAATGGCCAGGGATGATGGGAGTTGTAGTTTAGCAAGAGCTCCCCAGATATGGTCTAGACCTACCCTGTCACACCAAAACTGAGACTCAGGTCAGAGCAGGGAACTGAGTGTGCATGTGTGAATCATAAGCGCTCCTGTCAATAGACAGGTGGGGAACCTGTGGCCCCTAATCAGAGGTCATGTTGCCTAGGGCTGATGTACTATACAGTGGTACCTTGGGTTAAGTACTTAATTCGTTCCAGAGGTCCGTTCTTCACCTGAAGCTGTTCTTAACCTGAAGCACCACTTTAGCTAATGGGACCTCCTGCTGCCGCGGCGGCATCGGAGCACAATTTCTGTTCTCATCCTGAAGCAAAGTTCTTAACCCGAGGTACTATTTCTGGGTTAGCGGTGTCTGTAACCTGAAGCGTATGTAACGTGAAGCATATGTAACCCGAGGTACCACTGTACAGGTTTGCCATCCCTACAACCCACAATGTTGAGTACCCAAATGTTAACTAAGCCAAAACAACTTCCCTTCTTTGTTTTCCAAGTGAGACATTTGAGCATCTAGAACAGGGGTGACCAACTCCCAAGAGACTGCGATCTACTACAGAGTTAAAAACTGGCAGAGATCTACCTCCCTTTTTGGGGTTCAGGTCAAAGTTGTTGAGTTTTTTCTAGGGAAGCCAGTGATCTACCAGCTGGACGTGCCTGATCTAGGAGACAGAAAACTGAGGCTTCACAGCAGATGTGACACAAATGTGGATCTCTCTCGTAGCCAAATGCACTGCCTTGGCCACTGGAAATTTCTCTTTGGCATGTCCTGTTTTGTTCAGGAGCCACGCCTGAAAACACTGTGGAAACCAGGTGTGTGTGTATGTGTGTAAATACTGATATTTCCTGGAATACATCTGAAAGCACAACACTTGTGTGGGTCCAAGTCTCAGAGCCCAAAAGGTAAAAGCCTCAACAGTTCCCATTAAATCATACCTATATTCTCAGTTTGTGCAGCAGCCTAAATGTTGGCCTTGGGCCCAGTTTCAAACCCCTGATTGCGAAACCCCCCCACATATTGTTACCTGCCCCAGGAATATGGTGGGCTTCTCTGGCTTAATGATAACCCGTATCCTGTGCCAAGTACCCAGAAGGCCTCATATCCTCTTCCCTACACTGCGCTAGGGACAGAGATCCCGACACACGCTATGCATTTCTATAGCTGTGTGTGTTAAGCCAAAGTCAAATGCATCTAGAAGGGCAGCCTTGAACAGTCACCCTCTCTCAGCATCAGTTTGCGCCATAAATCTGCAAAATGGGCGTAGTAAGTGACCTGCCTCGTTGGGCCACTTTTGGAGGATTTGTCAAAAAGCGCTTTTGGGAGCCCTGAAAGTACTAGAGAAACAAAAATGCCAAGTGATAAAAGTCAGACCTCTTCAAAACGTCTCTGATGGGAAACAGAGATACACAGCAAGAGAGGGAGGGGACTTTAGAAAAAGATTAAAAAGGGAAACAGACGGGGAGGGGAGGACAGATAAAGGGAGATCACAGTCAGAGGTTAAACTGGCAAATACAGCGAAGGCAAGACGTGTCAGGCAACTTACTTTCATGCAGCACACATTTAAAGTACCCCCTCACACACACCCCCCCAAAAAAAAGAATCCTAGGAATTTTAGTTTTAAGCACGTAAGAAATTTGCACATCTCTGAATTGTGTGGTGCTGTTCTCCAACCACACACCCTCCAACGTTTCTCTAATGAAAATAGGGACGTCCCATTCCATAATGATAATTTTACTTATTTATACCCCACACATCTTATTGGGTTGCCCCAGCCAGTCTGGGCAGCTTCCAACAGAAATATCTGTTGTTTTCCAGGGACAGTCCCAGATTTGCAGAAGCCGCCCCGGTTTCTGATTTGATCCCGGCATGTCCCGCTTTTCCTTGGGACTGTCCCTATTTTCATCAGATAAATGTTGGACGGTGTGGAATTAGGCAACCACCGAGCCAAGGAGATAAATAACTTGACAAGTTTTGGAATACATCTGAAGGCAGCCCTGTAGAGGGAAGTTTTTAAAATGTTTGTGTGTACAGGATTTGAGCACAAGAGCATCTTCCCCTCTCTCCTGTGGTGCCTAGCAACTGCTATTCAGAAGCATTATAGACATCATGGCCTTATCTTCCATGAAGGGCGTTCAGGTGTTGAAGCTCTGTGAGGGGCAAATTAATGTCATGGAAAGGCAGCCCATTGTTATTTATTTGTACTATTTTTTTTCCTACTTCCAGAGAAAAGGTGGGGGGTTTTCTGCCTCAGGTGCCAAAATAGCTCCGCTGGCCTTTCTGCACCTTGAATCACAGAGCGTGGGTGGGTGGAGACCATTTCCTGTTCTACCTCAAGCGGCAAAATGTCTTGGGCCAGCGCTGGAGAAAGTGGTGGCGGAGATGTCGGCGGAAATGGGGTATTACTGGTTATGGAGAAATGGGACAGAGGTAGGATAAAATATACCCGATGGGGAAATCGGGGCGATGGGCGCCTACCCCTTGTGTAATTCAATTGCTGCAGCAAGAGGAAGACCCTAAACAAGAAATAAACAGGGTTTATTTACCTTGAGGGGCTCTCTACAGTGGTACCTCGGGTTACATACGCTTCAGGTTACAGACTCCGCTAACCCAGAAATATTACCTCGGGTTAAGAACTTTGTTTCAGGATGAGAACAGAAATCACGCGACAGCAGCGGGAGGCCCCTTTAGCTAAAGTGCTGCTTCAGATTAAGAACAGTTTCAGGTTAAGAACAGACCTCCGGAACAAATTAAATACAGTGGTACCTCGGGTTAAGTACTTAATTCGTTCCAGAGGTCCGTTCTTAACCTGAAACTGTTCTTAACCTGAAGCACCACTTTAGCTAATGGGGTCTCCTGCTGCTGCCGCACTGCCGGAGCCTGATTTCTGTTCTTATCCTGAAGCAAAGTTCTTAACCTGAAGCATTATCTCTGGGTTAGCGGAGTGTGTAACCTGAAGCGTATGTAACCTGAGGTACCACTGTAATGGGAAGGCACATTGTCCCTCTCAGTTATTTCACAGGGTGCTTAAAAACAGATCAGTTTTTGGTGGCCCATAGGAAGCTGCTGCCTTATACTGAGTGAGACCCGTTTGCTCCATTTATACCAGTATTGTCTACACTGACTGGCAGCCACTCTCCGGGGTTTCAGGCCGGATTCGCTCCCGGGGCTGATGGGGATTGAACCCTGGGACCTTTGGCAGACCCCTGTTCCCTTTCCAGAGCTCCGATTCCCAGCGAAGAAGAACCAGTTGTTAAACCACTCTGAAAATTGTAGGTCTGCAATTCTCAGAACCCTTGACAAACTACAGTTCCCAGAATTCTCTGAGGGAAGCCATGGCTGTTTGTAAAGGGGTCTCGGTCACACTTTATCACATATGGTGTCAATGTGGGCCTAAGTTGGCAGGTATGAAAACTGGCTCAATCAATGCTGAGGGCCGAAGGGCTGTGGATGATACTGTATACCCGACATTTGGGATGGAAAAAGCTGGACAAGGAAACTCCACACCCTCCCCTCATACAAGGCGCCACCCCAACCCCCCTCACAGTCACACTCTTGTGAGCCGAGGAAATATTCAAATCTAGCTTTCCCCACCTCAGCATTTGCATAACAGGCAAGAGGAGGGGAAGGAAAGTGAGAGGAGAAAGTTGAGGTGGGGTGCGCTTGGGGTGGGGCGTTCAAAAGCACCCAATATTAGATTGCAAGTAAATTGGGGCGGAAAGGGGCTGCTAAATGTGGAGTGGGGTCTCCGTATTTAAAGTGGCAAAGTCTCTGCGCCTTTTCACTGTTGCAAAAAAAAAAAAAAAATTAATGGTGGAATTCAGCAGCTGAAGTTTTGCCCAGCATGGTGGGAAAAGTTATACCAGAGAACTTTTCTCCTTAGAGCAAGTCCTGCCTTGCAAAGGAGCCCCGTTTGAAAATGTTGGCGGCAACCTGCCTTAAGAGACAAGCAGCAGCCCTAAATACTGGCGTTTCCAGGAACATTCCAGGCATAAGGCACGGATCCTGTCCACAAAGTGACCAAGGATAAAGCCCCCACAGCGTAAAAAATTAACACACACGCTTCCCACTGCATGTTCTTTCTCCTCCCGTCCCCTATTTTTTACAACTATTAGCGAGACCATGTGGTGAGTCGTATTGGGCTTAGGCAGGAGACGTCCTGGGTTCAGTATCCCAAGTTAGAGAATCATCGAATTGTTAAGAGGTGGACGGGACCCGAGGGTCATCTAGTCCAACCCCCTGCAATGCAGGAATCTTTTGCCCAACGTGAGGCTCGAACTCAAGACCCTGAGATGAGCAGTCTCATGCTAACACTGACCAAGCTATCCCAACTATCCCATTAACCTTATTGGGTGAAAAAAGCTAACACCCAGCCTCGCCTGCCTCGCAGGGCTGTTGTGTGGAGGAGAAAAAGGTTATGGACTGCCCTGAAGTCCTAGGTGGAAGGGTGGGATCCAAGCGTAACAATAATATGAAGTGATAGCAGCCTGGCTGTCTTTATACAAAACTGCTCCCCCAGCCCACAAAAGCTAGAAATCCAAAATTCTGGCTCTTGAGCCTTTTTTGTGGACTCACAACGTGTGCGCTTGATGCAGTTAGTTTTTAGTTAGCTCTGTTTTGAGGTCCGTTCTCGGCTTTAACAAAATCGTTGTTCCTATTCAGAGAATTCCGGGGTCCCAACAGGCACCCCGCTTCCCCTGGCCGATTTCCCTCCCGGAGAGAACCCAGGAGTTCGGGAACGCAGCCAACCTGCCCCGACCTTACAGGAGTCCTCTGCTCCTCTCGGGCGCCCCTCTCTCCAACCCTTGTATGAGCCTCGGGGCAAAGACTTTTTGCCCAACTTTCGCAGCCGGCAAGCAACCACCGACGGAGAAGCGAGTTGGGAGAAGAGGAGCAACTCCCAGACCCAGGGATCAAAGTTTTAAAAATGAAACAACGCCCCATCTCCAAATGCGGGAGGCGTAGGCAAATGGGTGCTTTGGGGGGGGAAATACTCTGCACATGCTCGGAGACCACTTTAAAGAATTAAGAACAAAAAAACCAGGGCAGATGATGCCATATATTTGTGTGCGCGCCCCTCTCTCCATAATCGAAAACACTTTAACCCCCGGTTCACTCACTGCGCGTAGTCTACGTCCAGCATCCTCAGTCCGCCACGATCGCTGCGGAGGCCACCGATCCTAAACTCTCCGTCTCCGTCTGCCGATTGCAACTTGGCGGGGGGTGGGAATTATATAGCATCTCGCGGGCGGCGGCGGAGGGAGTGATCTCACAACCGCGAAATTCCCCCCCGATGGGCGTGGCCGGCCCGGGACTCTTACGCAATGTGAGGTTTCCAGTCCGGTGCGAGGAAAGGGGCGCGAGCGAGGGAGGGAGGGGAGGAGGAGGAAGGAGAGAGAGAGAGAGGGAGGCTGGGCTGGCAGCGAAGAGGGCACGCGCTTCCCCCTGCGCGATCCTTGCCCAGCAAAAGATTACGAAGCACATTAGTGCATTTTTTTTCCGCCACCCATTAAAAAAATCGTGTGCGCGCGCCCAGGGATTTGCTGACCCATTGCTGTTTTTAGACCACTCTGACGATTTGTACTTTCTGTGTGTTGCATTTCGTGTTTTATTGGATTTTTAAGCAACGCTTGGTATAACTTTATACTGATGTTGCAAATTGTGTGCCTACTTTTTTTTTGGCGGGGGGTAAGGTTTATGTATTTCATTTTATAATGTGTTATAAAACATAGAGAACCATTATAGCAACAGAGGAAACTGAAAAGTGGGGGGGGGGGCAAAACTTATAGTGTGTTGAAATAACAAAGGGCAAGTAATGGCTGTCGGTGTTATCAATTATCTTTCCTGATTGGCCCGGATGGTTCTACTGTATGTCAAAAAGAAAAGCCTATTAAAAGTGCCTGGAGGTTCTAGTAAAGGTAAAGGTACCCCTGACCGTTTGGTCCAGTCGCGGACAACTCTGGGGTTCCGGCAAACCAGAGCAGCGCACGGAAACGCTGTTTACCTTCCTGCTGGAGCAGTACCTATTTATCTACTTGCACTGGCGTGCTTTCAAACTGCTAGGTGGGCAGGAGCTGGGACCGAACAACGGGAGCTCACCCCATCATGGGGATTCGAACCGCTGAACTTCTGATCGGCAAGCCCTAGGCTCTGTGGTTTAGACCACAGCGCCACCCGCGTCCCTGCCTGGAGGTTCTAGCCCTTGTCAAAATCCTATATATACTCTTTAGAGTTTTGGGGGCAGCGCATAAATACTAAAATAAAATTAAATAAGCTCCCCCAGCTGGGTGGTGAAGTTCACATGGAAAGATGCCCCCAGTCAAATATCCCAAGCAAAGTATGCTTCTTGCTGTGCAACAGCTGGTCAAGGACTGGGTCCAGACCATCAACACTATTCCTAAACACGCCTTACTTCAAGAAATAATTTGCCAGCGATTTCAGCGGCGCTTGCTCCCAGAGTTCAGTGGGCCATACACCTGTCAGCAATCGTGCTGCAGCATTCTGCACTGACTGCAGCTTCTGGATCAAGCGTGAGGGGAGTCCCGCAAAGAGCACATTGCAGTAATCCAGTCTTGAAGTAACCAATGCACGACACTACTGTGGGAAGGCTTTTCAGGTCCAGGAACGGCTGCAGCTGCCAAACCAGCCGCAGTTGGTAACAGGCACTTTTTGCCACTGAGGCTACCTGAGTCTCCAGCGACAGAGCTGGATTCAGAAGCAATTCCAAACTGCATACCTGCTCCTTCAGGAGGAGTGCAGCACAATTCAGCAGTGCTGGATTACCAAATAGGCAGAGTAGCCGCCGGCCTATGGGCCTTTTAGGGGCCCCGCGACAACAGATCAAAACAATATTGATTTGATCTTGAAATAAAATGGCAAAAACATATCAAGGAGATCATTTGCAAGATAGGCCCCTTCTGAGATTTCGACTTCCTTTGGGCCTCCACGGGGTTTAATCCAGCACTGCCATCCAGGGTTGGCAACTGACCAATTTCTCGGACATGGGAGCTACTCACCCACAGTGCCAGGATTCAACCTTAGCTTGTTTTTCGCCATCCATTTCACCACTGCATCCTGGCAACAGCCCCGGAGACTGAACAGCCTCTCCTCATTCGGATGTTATGGAGAAATAGAACCGATTGTTCCTTTTTGGTTTTCACGGCTTGTTGTTACCGTTGTTTAGTAATAATGGTGGTTGCTTTTTCAAAATGTGAGCCGCATTGAGACTTTTGGTATGAAGACAGGGTAAATCTTCGTGGGTGGAGGGGGGGCAATTAACTTTAACTAACGAACTCTGCTTCTTTTAAAGAGTGAGTGTCTGGTGTGTGGTCAACTGACCCAATGCCACAAAAGTGACTTTGCATCAGCTGCCAAGGGGGCAGGGAAGCATAAAAGCTGAAATGTACTTGCATTTTCTGTCTTGTGTCATCCTGTGGGTTTCACATACAGTGGTACCTCTGGTTACGTACTTAATTCGTTCCGGAGGTCCGTTCTTAACCTGAAACTGTTCTTAACCTGAGACACCACTTTAGCTAATGGGGCCTCCCGCTGCGGCTGCACCACCAGAGCACGATTTCTGTTCTCATCCTGAAGCAAAGTTCTTAACCCGAGGTACTATTTCTGGGTTAGCGGAGTCTGTAACCTGAAGCATATGTAACCTGAAGCGTATGTAACCAGAGGTACCACTGTACTGCACATGTGTGAAAGCAGAAAAATGTGAGGGCACTCTTGCTCACTAAGCGACAAAGCGGTTGACCTGAGCCAAGGATGGAAGGGGAACCCACGCCTAAGGATAAAGCTTTATGCAACGAAGCAAGAAAGTTTATGTCGCCGCGAATCTGCTCTCTTTAAGCTGCTACCAGACTCGCAAAACCTTCTAATGGGTAGGCAAAGGAGCTTTGCAAAATTCACTGAGCACCACCAGTGGTGAGTTCGGCTTCCACTGTGGAGGCAGCACAGAATCCCAGAATTGGAAAGGTGCAAGGATCATCTGCAGGGATATGCAGCCGGCAATCTTGCCGTTATCAGCACCACGCTCTGATCAACCGTGCTATCCAGTCCGAGTATGTGCCCGAATTCTAGTTTCTGGAAACTGGAGAGAACCATTGCACGGAGGATCTGCTTGTGGGATCTGTTCGGCCACTGTGAAAACAGATGCTGGACTAGATGTGCCGCTGGCCTGACCCGGCAGAGCTCTTCCCTTGTGGGTACAACCTGGCACCATTCTGCGCCCTCCCCACCTCATGAGGGATGCTCACATGAGCGGCTAGGGAGTCATGACTTGCGAAAGAATCTGGAAGATTGCTTATCTCCTTGAGACACCTTTCCTCATTATCTCCGCTGCCCTGACTCCTCCATCTGGATTGGGGGAGGGCCCTGACTCAATAGAGAATGGGGGGAAAGTGTGGGGGGGAGGAGAGCCTGCACCAGCCCCAATTTACTGCCTCCTTTAATCTCTCCCCTCCCCACTCCTTGCTCAAGTTTCTAACTAACTGGTGACATCCCATCTTCAAGGGAGTAGGGCAGGAAGATGTTACCACCAGCCGCCAGCTGCGGTCAGGCCAAGTTATAAGGAAGGGTCAAAGGTCACTACCGGAAGCTCCAGTTACTAGCTGAAGTGTGCAACACGGCATTTCATCACCTTTTTCATGCCCTGTGAAGCCACCTTCCTCGCTACAACCCTGCAAGCCTGAGACCCGGTTGGTCCACCCATAAAGGACACCGGGTGACCTTGAGCCAGTTGCCAGCTCCCAGCCTGAACTACCTGGCAGGGGCGTGGAGGATTAAGCAGGCAGAGAACATCCCATGCATGCACCCCTAATTCAACGGCGGGCCTGGGGGTCTCAAATTTCAGCGGCACCCTGTGTGACGCCAACATTTGGCGCCCGTCTCTCCTGCTCCATTGGTTTTTTTCTTTTTAGCAAAGGGAAGAAAACCTTTTATTTTCCTTTATTCACTCTTCTCCTGCTCCTTTCTAAATAACAGAATTGCAGAGGTGGCAGGGACCACGAGTCATCTAGTCCAACCCTCTGCATTGCAGGAAACTTTCGCCAAACATAGGGCTCAAACCTACGACCCTGAGGTTAAGAATCTCATGCTCCACCGACTGAGCTACGCATTATGGTTGCGGTGTCCCCGAGGCTCCGCGGCCAGTGTGACCGAACCGGTCGGGCTCCCCTAAATCCGCCTCTGCCCGATTCTCTTGGAGGAAGCGTAGGATAAAAATTAATGATTTTACAGCTAGGAAACTGAAGCTGAGAGGAAGGCAGTTGGGTATGGGGAGGGAAGGACTGTAGGTCAGCAGCTGAAGACGTACTTTGCTGACCTTTGATCCTCCAGATGTTGCTCCCATCAGGCCTGGCCACTGGCTATGCTCACTGGGGCTGATGAGAGTTGTTGTGTAGAAACATCTGGAGGACCAAAGCTTCCCCACTCCCAAGTTAGAAGAACAGGGGAGCAGCAGGTACAACTGCCTGAGACTCTGGACTGCTATCTTCAGCTTCAGTATACTTTATTGGGCTAGAATAAACAGACTGACCTGGTAGAACAGAGCTTCTTCCTATCTTCCAACTTGCCCCAGAACGACACGTCCTGGCTAAGCTGGGATTTGAAGCCTGGCATTCCTGCGCGCTTAATGACAAAAAAGCAACTTTTATTTGCGTTATTTTGGTCGCACACTAAGGTTGACTGCAACCACCTGGTCATGGAGTGCAAGCGGGCAACACCATGCACTCAGCCGGCGCTAAATAAATGTTTAGGAGTAATTTATGGTCCTCCTTATCTCGTTTGGCGAATGACCGTGGCGGTGGAGGAGGGGATCATGAGAACTGGGATGTGCAGAACATGGCAAGGGCAACGCTATGTGCCATCTCGAAATGCCATCAGGAGATTGCCTTTGATGCTCAAATTTCCATGTTTACCCCCATCATATAAGACAATAAAGTTGCAATCACAAATCTGATTTCATCCTGCTAGGGCATGGAAAGTGGGAGAGGGCCATTGCCCTCTTGTTTTGCTTGTGGGCTTCTCACAAGTCTCTGACTGCTGTGGGAAACTAGATAGGTCTTTGGCATGATGCAGAAGGACCCCTTTTACATTTGCTTGTTGAATGCATGCTGATCATAGAATTGTAGAGTCAGAGGGGACCACCAGGGTCATCTAGTCCAACCCTCTGCAATGCAGGAACCTTTTACTAATGCGAGGCTCAAACCCATCACCCTCAGATTAAGAGTCTCGGGTACAGTTCTCCTAGGAATAAAACAAAAGCAAACCCCAAAACGTTAATGCAACACCTGGCAATAGAGGTCAGTGGTGCCACCTTTATAGCTTCCGTATGGCAGGTGTTTCTTGAGTCTAGTGGTCCCTGCAGTCACCTGCTCCTAAAACACATCTAATTACACAAAACAAATGAAATGCTGTGAAAACGAGACGTTATCGACTATAAAGTTAAACTAAGTAAGAAAAATAAAAAAGTTTAAGGAAAAAAATTAACCTAGAATAGAACAAAGACTTAACGAGATGCCGGCTACA